AGATATATACATATATATATATATATATATATATATATATATATATTATATATAGATATTCATATGCATACGCGCAGCTAAAGGTGGTTCCTACATACGCGTCTACTCACTTAAAGAGCCATATCGTTCCTCCTCTCATACCTTTTTGAGACATCTTCCAGCCGAAATTTTTCTGATTTTTCAATGAATGCAGAACAGGTTCCACGGCGACTTTGCCCAATCTAAACCCTAAACCCAAAACCCAAACCCTAAACCCTTAACCCTTAAACCCTAAACCCTTAAACCTAAACCCTTGAACCCTAAACCCTAAACCCTACTACAATCTATGCTGTTTCTACTTGATGCTGCCTTGTGAAGCTGGGCGCGTGAGTGAAACAGCAATGTTGCATTTTGTGGGTTAAGCACGCCGCAAGCCAGCCCGGACGCGTCTTCCGAGTTGCATTCCCCTACCGTAAGCTGTCGACTTGAATCAGGCCAAAGACCAGCTTCAAGCGCGTGATTTCCCGCATGGTTTTGTAGCCCAAGCACCCCTCATGAGTCCATGCTGTCTGCGGCTTGCTGTTCCCAAGCCATTTTCTGCGGCCTGCAAGGTTGGCGCCTGTTCAGAAGCAACCCTATCATCGAGCAACCTTCCAAGAGGTAGCCTCGGGTTTGCACGCCACGATGCCTTTGGATTTTATGATGAGCAGTGGAGTAAGCATAGGAGTGAACGATTTAGAGGTGCTGCTTGGTGTTCATGAAGCTCGTGGTATGCAGTGACAAGCGCAGGACACGTGGCAAGCGGTGGGTTGAGCTTTGTTGCCATCTTGTAGGGGATGTGTCGATCTACGGTTCCCCGCGTTTGTCCAGCGCAACTTCGGCAGCGGCCTGGGTCCGTGGCTCTTCCCCTTTCCTCATTCCATGTAATGTTGTCGAGACTGGAATGGCTGCTCTCCATCGGCGGAGTCGGTCATGGCTACAGAGTAGGTGAGGTTGGGTCTGCAAGCCCACGATGTCTTTCGATTTTATGATGAGCGTAAGCTCTTTGTCATGCCAGTGCAGGATACATGACGGCCGCCGGTGGGTTTAGCTTTGTTTCAATCTCGCGATGGGGTTCGTGGATCTTTCCAGCACATTGCTGCACGTCACGGGGATGCCTGCTTGGTGATGGTAAGAAAACGGTTCATTCTGCATGTGCATCGACATGCCCTGAATCAATGGTGCGGAATACTGTTGCAAGCTCTGGGTCGAACAGTGCTGACTGAGGGGTACGTAAACAAACTATGGGAGCTCCTTGTGTCCCAGACTGACTGGAGCAGTTTTCAAGGGATTTCAGGCAGGTTTCAGGGGGTTAACCACAGCGTCAAAAAGAAGCGAAAGAGAACGAGAAGAAAACAGCAGAAGAAGTTGCATTTGGCATATTATTTCCTCGTGCCCGAAAAGCCCAACAAAAGCAGCACAGACGCGGTGTTTTGGCGCTTTGTAAACGTAACATCGGCCCAATTGGCTCAGTTTCATATGTGCTGAAGCAGTTGGGCCTTAAACATATTTTTAAATAAGGTTCTAAGGGAGTATAGTACTGAGTTGGTACAAATGTTCTGGGCCGGCCATGATAGATTCATCGTTGGGCGCAGTTCCAAGGCTGTGCTTTGAGGGTGGAGTGGAACATGCAGAATGAAGTCTGGGGTTAGGGTTTAGGGTTTAGGGTTTAGGGTTTAGGGTTTAGGGTTTAGGGATCAAGTCCTACATGCCGGAAAGCCCGAAAGCTGTGAGCAATGTAAGCAGCGTAGTTCAACGTTTCTCAAAAGCCCATTCCCTTCGGCAATCATTCGGCAACACTGGCCGACTAGCATGGGCCCTTGTGGAAGACACTGAAACTTTGTCATAGTTGGGTACCATTTAAATGATACACGTTTTCGTGATTTAGGAATATGCCGAAATGTTTCGGCTCTTCAGTCCTGCTTTTTGCAGTCGGTAGGTAATGGCCGGGCCCTCGGTTTGCTCTTTCTGCAATCGGTGGTGGAGCACATCAGGGGCACCTATTTGTGGTCTTTGCAGAATTGCACGGGCCGTAGCTGCCCTACCGCTTGACAACCGAGTTAACAATACAAACTACGATTTGGCCACCTCTATTCTGGAACGTGCTTTGGGGGAGGTGAATTCTTGGTTGGCTGTCCCGTTGGCAGAAGCCCAAGGGACTGTGGAGAACATTCCTTCTCCTCCTGGATCGGGAGCTGTTGAAGGGGATTTGCACTCGGGAGAAGACTCTCCTAGATCAAGGGACTTGGGAAAGGACAAGAGGTCAGATCGTCAACAGGAAAGGCGGGCTGAAAGAAGGGAGGTGAAGCCAACCTCCACCACCACCTGCGCCCGCGAGAAGCTCTAGGGACTCTAGGGCACATTCTCCACCACTTGCCACTCGCGAGAGACATATTGGACAGCATCCTACTGGGTCTGACTGTTTTGTCCAGCGCCGAAAAAAGACGAACAAGGGCAAGAAACATCGAGAGCGAGGCCACGCATATCAAGCCTGGAGAAGAGGTGAAGAGTGACCAGCTGAGATAAGAACCTCATGCCGCCTAGGATTCGCCGCCCGGCAGCCTCAAGGGCGCTGGCAAAGTCCAAGCCAAAGGTGAAAGTTGCCCCCCGACAGTCAGGCCGAAAGCTCAAGAAGAAGCCAGGTCCGACCCGACAGTCAGGCCGAAAGCTCAAGAAGCCAGATCCGGGTACTCACTGGGTTGCGGTAGAGAACTTCGAGATCAAAATTGGTGACCAGCTCCACCTGCGGGGCACCTATAAGGGGAAGCCAGCAGAATGCATTGGGCAAGTGCAAGCTTTGGTTCAGGATACCGAAGGTTCATGGATGCGCCTCTCCCTCACTGGAAGCCCCAACCCGGAGATACAAGAGTGGAAACAAGCTCCCACAGGAGAGTTCTATGCGAATCGCAAACCCCTTGTGAAACCTTTGAGCACCGAGGTCGAGGGGTTGTTTTGTGTTCAAGACGTGAGAGAAGTAGACCCAACCTTAGAGTGGAAGTCAAATCTGGTAGATCTCATTCGCCACGGCGCCGGATTGCAGGGCTTGGAAGCTCTAGCCCAGGATTTGGGGTACGGATCGGGAGGGATAGGACCCATGGCCCCTCCTGTGCCCGAAGCCCGCGCTCCCGTAGAAGAACAAACCAAGAAGCTGAAAGGGGCCGCGCGCGTCAGAGCAATGTTGAAACAGAGCCACTGGTCTTGGAGAAACTCATCCCTAGACCCACTTTTCAAAAGGCCCAAAATCAGCTTGAAAAGGAAGCGAGAGGCCAGCTCCGGCAGCTCCATGTCGAAGCTGAGCCTCTCAGAAGCGGAGTCCGACCAGGAAGACTTGTTTCCGGAGGAAGCGCAGGCCAAGCATATCGCGCGGAAGTGTCCAGGCCTGTTAGCCCGGCATGCCATGCGGGCGGCTCACAACAGATTGTGCATGGGGGTGGGGGAGGATGCAAGGAATCGCGAGGCGCGGCCAGTTTTCGTCAAATACTTTCGTCAGGTGTTCAGTCCCTCGTGCAACTCGCCCCCCATGAGGAGGGAGTATCTCACGTTAGCAACTTGCGTGGACTGTATCGTCGAGGGCAGTGTTTTGAAGATGGTGGACTACGCAGTCCAACGCATGAAGGCGCTAGAGCAGATAGCCCAAGGTGCCTCACCTCACCTCGCCAACCGACTGGAGTTGATCCCTGCGGAGGTCTCCGCGCTGGCATCCACCGAGGAAGCGCGCTCAGCCGCGCAGGAACAAAGGCGAGAGGACAAAGCCAGGTCCTCTTGGGCACCGCGCGGCAAGGGAAAGTGGGATCAGCCCTGGGGGAAAGGAGCTTGGGAAGAGTCCAATCCCAAAGGAGGCAAGGAAGCCAAGTCCGGGAAAGGAAAGGAGGCGAAAGGCAAAGCGTGGTCGAAATTTCGTCCTCCGAATCCGAAGGGAGCATATGCACCGTCGACGGAGATAGTGCAGGTCAAGGAGTGAATGGTTCTCTAATCGCAGCGGCGTCAAGCCGGGACGGATTTATTCCTGCAAGTCCTTCCTGCGTTGAGTCTCGTGTTCTGTGCGCAGAAGTGAGGGAACCTCCTGCTCGGCGGGAAGGGGCCTCCTCTTTGTTGCCTTTCGATTTGGCCGGTCCGGTGAGCCAATTAGGGGGATTGTTAAATGATTGGGTTGACTCACTAAACCTGACAGATTCAGGGCACACGGGTTTAGGCCCAGGCAAGCATTCACGCTCGGCAGAGGTCTTTCCTTTGCCTGTGCCTGAGAGGGATGCCCTCTCAGAGCATTGCGAATGGTTGCGGGCAGCTGTGAAAGCCCTCAACTGGCTTGCAGTAGGAAGACTTGACGAGCCTAAGTCAACCCCAAGCGAGCGACAGTCGTTTTTGTTGCAAATCTTAAGCTCAAACCTTCATCAGGTGGGGCGTTGGAGTGAACAAGACTTTGATCAGGTTCCGATTGAGGACTATTGGAAAAGTCGCAGCGTGAACGGCTATGGTGAAGAGATTCATTCTGCGTCTTATTTTGCGTGGGCCAACGTGAAACACAGCTTGCCCAGCAAAGATGTGGCGGGGATTCTTGATGGGGCTGAGGTTTCAACAGGTGGTGTCAAAGATTTTCTGATGCACCCTGAAAAATATCTCAAGCCAGAGGCCACGCGAACATGGATGAAATGCCCGAGGGTCATGGTTAAGGAGGATCAGTGGGAAGAGGTTTGCGCAGGCCTTGTGGAGAGAGGAGTTTGTGATGTAATTCCTGTCAGTGAGGTTCTGCATGTGGATGGCAAACCCATCCTGGGCGGCCTTTTTGGCGTTCCCAAAATGGAGGAGGCAGATGGGGTTCCAGTGTTGCGTCTCATAATGGACCTTCGACCCATCAACCAATGCTTTGAATCCATTGCTGGAGACTTGGGAACCCTTCCCATGCTTAGCCAACTCTTCCCCTTAGAAGTGTTCACGGAAGAGAATGTCCTCTTGTCTTCGGAGGACATAAAAGCCATGTTTTACATCGTAGGTTTGCCCGAAGTGTGGCGTCCCCTCCTAGCCTTCGGGAGGGAGGTTCCATCAAGCCTTGCTATACCAGGAGCAGGGCCCTGCGTGCTGTGCAGCCGTGTGCTTCCAATGGGCTTCATAAATTCCGTTGCAGTCGCTCAAGCGTTGCACCGAGAGATCGTCAATTGCGCAGTTGATAGGTTTGGCATAAACCGAGATGCCGAAATCCGTCGTGATCAACCGCTTCCCTCTAGTGCGACCGCTTATCGCGTCTATTTAGACAACTTCGATGTGCTTGCAAAAACAAATCGGGAGGCCTCTCTTCTCCTTGAAGGACAGCTGGGCCCCTTGGCGTCCGAACTTAGGCAAGTGTATGAGGAGTTGAAAGTTCCAATCAACGAAAAGAAATCTGTAAAATCCGGGCTGCGGGGTGAGATGCAAGGAGCATTGGTAGATGGGGTGCAAGGTACGATTTCACCTAAACCGGATAAGATAGCTCGTTACCTCCGAGGCGCGTGGTACCTTTTGCAATGCCGGCAAACAGACCTCAAAAGGATTCAAACTGTAGCGGGAGGCCTGGTGTACATCTTCAGCTACCGGAGATGCTTGATGAGCTGCCTTAACGAGGTTTGGAGGTTCATTGCATCTTTTGAGGGTCACCTCCACCAATGGAAGGAAATCCCACAGGCAGTCAAACAGGAACTCTTTTGCAGCATGTCGTTAACCCCTTTGGCAATGATGAACCTTCGAGCTCCCTATGATGCAATGGCCACGGCCAGTGATGCATCAGAATCGGGTGGAGGTTTGTCGTACACAAGCGGCTTGACACCGTTTGGGGCAGCAGCCTCATTGAAGCCAGTTAGAGGGGTAACTCATAGAACTCCGGATGATGAGCAGGTCCTGGTTGTTTCGGTGTTTGATGGCATTGCAGCGTGCCGTGTAGCCCTGGATGTGGTGGGGGCCCAGGTGGCTGGCTATGTGTCCATCGAACCGGATGCTGCCGCCAGGCGCGTGGTGGAATCAGCATTTGGGTCCACTGAGTTTGTTGATGGAGTGCAAGATGTTACAGATGACACAGTGCGTCGTTGGGCCTGCAAGTTTTCGAGGGCTGGGCTCATCCTGCTAGCGGGGGGTCCCCCTTGTCAAGGGATTTCAGGCCTGAACGCTCAGGATGCACATGCAAGGTTTCACGAAACCTGCAACAGGATCCGTGAGTTGCTTGCAAAACACTTCTCTTGGGCAAAGGTTCATGTCATGCTGGACAGTGTTTCCTCGATGCCAGATGAATACAGAGCACGCATGACTAAATCCATTGGCTTGCTGCCTTATCAAGTGGATGCTCTAGGCATAACGCCTTGTCGAAGGGCACGCTTTTTCTGGTTCGACTGGGTTGTCAAAGCAGAAGTAGGGGTCGCGATCGCAACTCCTACGTCCACGTCATCGTGGGATTATGGAAAGCTGGATTTTCATTTGGATTGTCCCTCGGACGCATTCCTGTCTCCAGGATGGAAGTTGGCGGGAGGTCCAGAACAAAAACTTCCAACGTTCACCACGTCTCAGCCCAAGGGAAAACCGGATTCAAAAGCAGCTGGCATTGATTCCTGTAATTCCCGTGATTTAAGCTACTGGGAAAGCGATCGATTTCGCTTCCCCCCGTATCAATATCGGTATCAACACGGGGTGATTCACCCAAAACACGGGTGGCGCATTGCAAATGTCAACGAGAGGGAAGCCATGTTGGGATTCCCTCTTGACTATACGTTGGAGTGTTGGTCAAAATCAGCGCGGAAACTCAATCCGCTAGGACATGAAGACGCTCGCATGTCACTGTTGGGTAATTCATGGTCAGTTCCGGTAGTGGCTTTTCTTCTCGCCCAACTCTTGGCACCTCTCGGCTTGTGTGAGTCACTTTCTGTGCAGGCCATTCAGCGTCGCTGCATGCCGGGCCAAGGCCCGGAGCTTGGGAGTTATCTCACTCGCCCACCTTGGGTTGGGGCTCGTGCTAGTAAGACGGATGAAAATGACAGAAGTTTAATTTGCAAACTTGGTTCCCTTATGTCTACGAGGGGTACCGATGTGTTGATCCAAGCGGTGAGTGAACCAACAAGGTCTTATGACCGGCTGCGTACCTCAGTGCCGTCTAAACTGTGGAAGTGGCGCACCGCTTGTAGTTGGCGTTGGAAACCTCCCAGGGAAGGTCAGGGTGCGGAACACATCAACAAACTTGAGCTGCGAGCAGTCCTCACGGCAATTAAATGGAGGGTCATGAAAACAAAGCTTACCAACGCACGATTTTTGCACCTGGTTGATAGTTTGGTGTCGCTCCACATTGTCAACAAGGGGCGCAGCTCAAGCCACAAGCTCAAACACATCATGAAGAGGATTAGTGCATGGTTGTTGTTGTCCGGTAATTCCTGTATCTTGGGGTACGTTGACACAGGCCAAAACCCGGCAGATGCCCCCTCGCGACGAGGGGAAAAGAGGAAATGGTCAAGCGTGAAATAGTTGAAGGATGTACCCGAGATATCAGGAAAACCCGAAGACAACAACTAGGAAAGCTCAAAGACTTGGTGGTCAAGCCAGCCACCAAAAACCGCTATCAATCCGCCATGCGGCTTTTCTTTGAGTATTTGAGATGGAACCGCATACCTATGCCCGCAGATGCCTCTCAAGTCGATCGAGTGGCAGCACAGTACATAGAACACCTCTGGGAAGAGGGTGAGTCCAAGTACCTTGCACAAGACACTTTGTCCTCCCTACAGCACTTTGAGCCACAACTAAAACGTAAGCTACTCGAGAGTTGGCGCTTAATCCGCGCTTGGCAGCAACATGAAATTCCCACACGAGCACCTCCGTTGACCTTAGTCACTCTTGCCCTGCTGGCAGGTTGGTTCCAACATCATTTCCCTGAGCTTGGCCTCAGCCTTTTAGTGGCCTTTCACGGTCTCCTGCGAACGGGAGAGCTCTTCAGCATTCAAGCTAAGCATATAATTTGTACAGGGGATCTCTGTGTGTTGCATCTTGGACAAACGAAGATGGGAGCCCGGAATGCCAGTACTGAAAGCACATCATTCAAGCATCGCGAGGTTTCGTTGCTGTTGCAGGCTTGGAAGTCTGTTCACAGTCCTGATGCTTTCTTAGTTTCAATTTCACCAACATCGTTCCGACAATGGTTTGCACGGGCTTTGGTTGCTACTGATTTGCATCGGGTTCCATATAAGCCGTATAGCTTGCGGCGTGGTGGGGCCACGCAAGTCTTTCTCGAAACACAGTCTTACGCTGCAGTGTGCCAAAGAGGACGGTGGTCCTCCGAGAGGACCACTAGGGTTTATATACAAGATTCAGTGGCCCTCTTGACTGAGCACTCTTTCAAGCCCAGTTCCAAACAGCAAGCCCTATTGCAATTTTGGGCAGCGACTTTGCGCAGGCTTGAGCCTACCCGCAGGGCGGGAAGTAGAGGGGGACGTGGAAGGAGCTGAAATTTTGGTTTTGTGCAAGCTCAAAAAAAAAACACTGTGAGCTTGCTTGATTGTAAAGCTCTTAGGCCCGAGATCGAAGATCTCCAGGCCTTACATCACATCTGGGATCAAGGAATCATGGTGCTCATTACTCACTGAGCTGGGTGAGCTCGATTTGTAAAGCTCTCGCTGAGATGTCCGATTTGTAAAGCTCTTTGCGGAGCTTGAATTGTAAGATTTGTAAGGCTCTTTGAGTACGCTGAGCTGGGTGAGCTCGATTTGTAAAGCTCTCGTGGATGGCACCTCTCTTTCTGACTCTCTTTTGCTACAGAACAATGCTTGCCATGGGCAGAAAACGATGGAGCGCAGATTCCTTGATACACGTTTTCGTGATTTAGGAATATGCCGAAATGTTTCGGCTCTTCAGTCCTGCTTTTTGCACCCGCCCGCTCCGCCCGGAAGGAAGGAGCTGAAATTTTGGTTTTGTGCAAGCTCAAAAAAAAAACACTGTGAGCTTGCTTGATTGTAAAGCTCTTAGGCCCGAGATCGAAGATCTCCAGGCCTTACATCACATCTGGGATCAAGGAATCATGGTGCTCATTACTCACTGAGCTGGGTGAGCTCGATTTGTAAAGCTCTCGCTGAGATGTCCGATTTGTAAAGCTCTTTGCGGAGCTTGAATTGTAAGATTTGTAAGGCTCTTTGAGTACGCTGAGCTGGGTGAGCTCGATTTGTAAAGCTCTCGTGGATGGCACCTCTCTTTCTGACTCTCTTTTGCTACAGAACAATGCTTGCCATGGGCAGAAAACGATGGAGCGCAGATTCCTATTTTAAGGGTACCTAAACCCTATAAGCCTACAAGGAATAAGATTTTGAATATTTAATATTATCCCAACCATGAACTAGGAAAGTACAGCTGTCACGCGACTAGTCCCTGCAGCTCTTCGGAGTGGTCCTTCTGCGGCCCATAAAGAAGCTCCTCAAGACTTTCCCTGCATGTGTCGGGGTGTAGGAGTCGGACAGGGTGCCAAACGCACACTCAACCCAAAAGACATGTCCTAAGAGGGGGGGGGAGGGAGGGGGGCTTTCTCGAAGCCCCTGACGGGCCAGCGGGAGCAATGATTCCGGGATAGAGGGTATAGCCGCCAGAGCCAAGGCTGATGGCCCGAACCTGTGGACAGCGAGCAGCAGAGGAGCCTCGTGCTGCCTTAGAGACGTCCTCTCATCAACTTGGCCCCCAAGATCCCCCTTGGGGCCCGATACGGCCCACACGACGCCAGAGGGGCCCAAACCCCCCGGCAAGTCTAAGCCTCTTTCAGCAGCTTTTGTTGACTCTCCTTTCCCTAAACCCCAAACCCCAAACCCTAAACCCTAAACCCTGAACCCTAAATTCTTTAGCGACCTTGGACTCCCCTCCCCACACCCCTCCCCTGCCCCCCTTCCCTTCCCCCATCCCCCACCCTGTCTCCTCCTCCCCAAAGCTTGCAAGTGGCCAGTCAGCCGGATGTCAGGCTCTAGAGGGCTCAAGTGGTAGATGACACGCACAAGTCGAGGAGTGTACCAAGTCCCCACCCGAAATCCTAAACCCTAAGCCCTCAACCCTAAACCCTAAACCCTAAACCCTCTCGTTTATACGATGTATATGTTTAAACCTTCGTGCAATTTCGGTCCCTCTGCCCACCGGTGTTTTTTTTGCGAAAACGGTCCATCGGCCGTAAGTGTTTTGTTGCGAAAACGGTCCATCGCCACTAGTGTTTTTTACGAAAACGTGCATCAGCACCAGTGTCTTGTGCGAAGACGGTCGGTCCATCGGCACCACTGTTTATGCGAAAACGGTCCATCCGCACCAGTGTTTTTTCTTGTGAAGACGGTCCATCGGCACCAGTGTTCTTGCGAAAACGGTCCATCGGCCATGAGTGTTTTTTTTTGCGAGAACGGTCCGGCATCAGTGTTTTTGAGAAAACTGTACATCGGCGCCAGTGCTTTTGCGAAAGCAGTCCATCGGCACCAGTGTTCTTGCGAATACGGTCCATGGGGAAATGGTGAAGCGGTGTGTTCAGGTTTGGGGTTTCAGGGCTTCAGGCCTGGCTCAGGGTGGGATTTAGGGCTTCAGGGTCTCAAGGCCTCGGGTTTAAGGGCTTTAGGGTTAGGGTTTAAGGTTTCAGGCCTCAAGGTTTGGGGATGTGGCCTGGGGTTTAGGGTTTCAGGGCCTGAGGCTTAGGGTTTGAGGGCTTCAGGGGGCCTCAGGCTGGGTTTCAGGGTTTCGGGGCCTCAAGGCTTCGGGTTTCAGGGCCTCTGGCTTGGGGTTTAGGGTTTCAGGGCTTCGGGCCTGGGGTTTACGGTTTGAAGGCCTCAAGGCCTGGGGGTTTGGGGTTTCCGGGCGTAAAGGGTTCATGAAGACCCTTTCTTAATGTTCTGGGATTCTTTGGGTATTTTCCTTGCTGAACCCTAAATCCTAAACCCCATAGACGCGAAATAACGCTAAACCCTAAACCTCATAGACGCGAAATCCTGGTTGAGGGATGGGGGGCACAGGATCTGCTGCTCAGCGCCTCGATGCCAAGCTCGAAAGACTTGCGCCACCTGCGACCTGGATGTCTTAGGAATGCCGGCTTCAGGGTTTAGGGTTTAGGGGCAGGGTTTTGGGGTTTGGGGTTTAGGGTTTAGGGGTTGGGGCGTTCATGGGTTTTATGGCGTAAGGTTTCAAGTGCTTGGGCATTGGGTCGGAGTTTCCGTGAGGTTAAGGAGCTCGGCTGAGGCTGGGATGTTCCCCCTTTAAGCTTAATAGGGATTAATTACAGAATCCCTATTCAGGAGCTGTTGCCCAGAAACATGGTCGCCATTAAGGTTTAGGGTTTAGGGTTCAGGGTTTAGGGTTTAGGGTTCAGAGAGCTTGCCGCGCAGGCAACTCGTCGATGAGATCGTCGAGAAGCCTGAGGCCTCGCCGCAACGTGCAAAGCAAGGGTTTAGGGGTAGGGTTTAGGGTTTAGGGGTTCGCCCTGCAAACTCTGGAAGCCCTAAACCTCAACGAACATAAGTACTTGGAAGCCCTGGCCCAAAAAGGGCCCACGAAGGGCCTTGACAACAGCATCTTACAGTTGCAAGCCCGGCAGACTGGACTCAAAGAAAACCACACAAAAAAAAAAAGCGAAACGAAGGCCTGAGAAAACCAAGAAGCACATGGCACGCCTTGGCCTCCTCCAACGGGCCACAGGGGACATAAGGGGATGTGAGGCACCGAATTCGCGAAAAAGCCTGCAGAACCCCTAAACCCTAAATCCTAAATCCTAAACCTAAACCCTTAATCCCTTAAACCCTTAAACCCTAAACCCTGAACCCTGAACCCTAAACCCCAAACCCTAAACCGAATTCCCTAAAACGCCTGCAGAACCCGGAGCCCTGAACGCTCTGCAGCGATTGCATCGCTCCGAAGTGTAACCCTGCAGTGCAGTTCATGCCAGGTTCAAGGTGAGGGCAGCTATTCGGTTTAGGGTTTAGGGTTGAGGGTTGAGGGTTGAGGGTTTAGGGTTTAGCATCTGCCGTGGTTGCGACCCACGTCTGCTTGCCCATCATGCGGTAGCCGCGAACGGCCACAGCACTTGCTTTCTGAGCCCGTCCAGGGCCAAAACACCCAATACGAGCCGATGATCATTTCCGAGAAACAACCGGGAAACGCTCAGGAGCTGCTGCCAGCCGGTTTGGCGAAGCTCCAGAAATGGCTGAAGTTTCCCAGCCAGGCCGGAGCAATCGAAACCAGACCAAATGGTTTAGAGTTCTATGGGTTCTTAAGGGAGGGGGGCTTCTTTATGGAGGGCTTAGGGTTTGGGGTGTAGGGTTTGGGGTTCATGCGGGAGGGAAGCTTAGGGAGTACTAGGGAGCCTTGGGTTACATACCCCCCTTGAACCCCGCTTTCCTTAAGAACCCTATAACACTTGCTGCAAGAGTCCTTGAGGGTGTTCTAGGTTTCGGCTGCCTGCCTGGCTTGCGTACAGGCACGGAGGCAAAAGGATTTGAGGGTTTTGGACTTACAGCGGGCTGGAAATCAACCTTTGCATCTGGATGTCTGGTCGCAAATTTCATTCGTGCATCTTTCATGCATCTTTTCTTTCCTTATAAAATATGCCCTTTTGGTCATCTTTTACCTTTGTTCCAATTGCCTTTACGGCTTCGCTAACTCATGATCGTATCTTCGGGAATTTTTTTAATATTTCTTTATGGACGCACGACATTATGCTATTTCATTAGGTTTTCAGGAAGTATGAAGAGATTGTGCAAAGCCCGTTCATAAAGAGTTATATTATTTTAATAAAGGCGCATGATAGGAGTGAAAGCGCAAAAAGAATGACGATAATTGTGAAAGCTTGCGCGCGCCGCCTCGGCAGCCGGGCCAGCCCAAGGCCCAAGATATTCGCAAAACCTTTCGCGGTCTGGCAGGCTCATAAGATTATAAGGGATGTGTCAGGGTCTCGGGGAGGTTTTGAGTGTCAGGGGGAGGCCCCAGGAGAGGTCACTAAAACACAGAGCGGGGAAGGGTTGGGAAAGGGGGGAAGGAGACCCGGATCCTGGTCTGCTTGTTCTAGGCGCCTTTTGGCTGGTAGCCGAGGCGAATGTTTCAGCGGCTTTACCTCGCGAGCTATCTTAATTTCATTCGCGTGCATGCGTTTAAAAGCAGTTGCCAATTATGCGCGGCGCCTGCCCAGCCCTAGCAACCTTTTCCAATGTCAAAAGGAGCGCACGTGAAATATCCACAGACGATGGAAGTCATCCTGAATTTGAGGAGTCGGTTTCTCAAGTCATTAAGGGGTATGGAGCAGGAACATGGGAGGGGTGTCTTAAAGGGGTCAGCAGCCATGGAACTCAAGAGGCGTGGGCACTCAAACAAGGCTTGATTTTAGGATCGGGTGAGTTAAGACACGGCGACAACAATTAAAGGTGGGGCCAGGGTTTAGGGTTTAGGGTTTCGGGTTTAGGGTTGAGGGTTTAGGGTTTAGGGTTTAGGGTTAGGGTTTAGGGTTTAAGGTTTAGGGTTACTGGACACCTACTTGTAAGGAGGCTTCGTGCTGTTGAGGGCCTCATCAGGGGATCCCTGCAACCCTTACCCCGACAACCAAAAGAGTGCGAAGCGCACTGCTTGCCTGGGGCATGATTGGCATATTCTCACTTCGCGTTCTTGCAGTAAACCCTAAACCCTAAACCCTAAACCCTAAACCCTAAACCCTAAACCCTAAACCCTAAACCCTAAACCCTAAACCCTAAACCCTAAACCCTAAACCCTAAACCCTAAACCCTAAACCCTGTGTCGAACGCCTGTGGTCTGCGATGTGCACAGCTTAGCTTGGACCCCAAAATTTCGCAGCTGAAGGCTTAGCGTCCGATTCAGTCGGGGTTGGGCTCCTAAGGGTTTTTGTTAAAGTAGGTCCAGGGGTTTAGGGTTTAGGGTTTAGGGTTTAGGGTTTAGGGTTTAGGGTTTAGGGTTTAGGGTTTAGGGTTTAGGGTAGTCCCAGACCACTTTCCAGGAAAGCCCCCCTTCAATGCCTCGCCAGGGCTACGTCCCAACCAAGGATCACCTCAGAGGCTTGGCAACGTTTGCCTTGGGGGTGGGGGGGCTTTGCAAATGTGCTGCAGCGCTGCGTTTGCGGTGCTGCCCTAAACCCTAAACCCTAAACCCTAAACCCTAAACCCTAAACCCTAAACCCTAAACCCTAAACCCTAAACCCTAAACCCTAAACCCTAAACCCTAAACCCTAGACCCTAGACCCTAGACCCTAGACCCTAGACCCTAGACCCTAGACCCTAGACCCTAGACCCTAGACCCTAGACCCTAAACCCTAAACCCTAAACCCTAGGATTTGGAGGTGCTGCGACACTCCCAAGCGCCCCGCAGCAGCCCACTGCCCGGAACGCAGGGGAATTTGCCAAGCGATGGCGAGATGGGATCGAGTGGGAAGGGACCGAGGCGCCACTGACGGACTTTTTCGAAGGGGTTTGCTAAACCTTAAGACTCTAAGTCACCAAATCCTTTCCGAGCCTCCCTGTGGTCTTTGGGCTTGAAGGCTCTTGCGGGTTTTAAAACGGTGGCAGCGAAGTGGTACAGTCCAGGACTTCTTGTTGTGACAGCTTGCGCAAATGACATCCGCGGGCCTCCTCTCGGCAAGAGGAGGTGCCAACTTGGCACAAGCGCACGAACTGTGACCCGGACACCAAGCCTTTCCGGAAGGTCTGGAAGGCCATTACCGACCCACAGACGGTGGCCACGCTGGGGCAGGTGGGCCACGTGTGCGTTCAGAGTGACCCACCGCCAACCCCGACAGCATCAGTCGACCCTTGCACAGGTTGACCTGCGCAGTTGTGCGAGTCGAGTTCCGAAGTGTCGAAGGTAAGGTCGAAAGTCGGCTTTTGATTATTCAGAGGTTTCAAGGGGCCCCTTCAAGGGGCTTGGGCAAGGATCTCCCAAAAAAAGGGCTTCGAGGGGTTTCCCATCGAAGCCCCTGGCTGAGGTGATGAAGCGCCTCTCCGGCGGGGCCAAGTCCAAGCTGTAGGTTTCAGGGCTTCCTCGGGGGCTTTGCGGGCTTTGCCCGGATCAGGAGCTCATGGAAGGTTCGAAGGGGCGATAGCTCGAGCACCTCTCGGGAGATGCCTTATTAACCTAAGCCCTCAAGCCCTTAAAGCCCTGAAAGCCCTGAAAGCCCTGAAAGCCCTCAAAAAAAAAGCCCGAGAACTCACCCTACCTGTTTCGGGGGTTCCCCAGTCAAGGGCCCCTTGCTGGGGGTCCGGGCTTCAGTCTGAGTCTGAGATCCCTGTGCTGGCCTGCTGAAGAGAAAAGAGGATCGTGAGCAAAGCGTGGCGGTTTAGGGTTTAGGGTTTAGGGTTTAGGGTTTAGGGTTTAGGGTTTAGGGTGCTTTCGGGATTTGGGCAACGCTTTGAAACGGAGGCATTTGGAATTAGGTGGCTCTTGCTTTCGGGCCCTGCACATGTCTGCGTGCAATATCGTGGACCTGTTGAGTAGAACGATCAATCTTGGGAACTGTTTCCTATATACATGTGAGGAAGGTAAAAGGTGAAGAGTCTCATACCACTTCGAGGATATCAGTGGGGATGATCCCCCTTATACTAACAGTCCTTGAGAGGAATTGTTGTACCCCCATTATAATCCCTATGAAGGGCTGTTAGTATAAGGGGGAACATCCCAAAAAAACCCTAAACCCTAAACCCCAAACCCCAAACCCTAAACCCTAAACCCGACAAATGGCGAATTGGGCGTTTCAGGGACGGCAAGAGGCATCAGCAGGGCCGGCGCCGGAGGCATTTGGGGCCAGCCGCGATCCAGTAAGAATGATCCCTAAACCCTAAACCCTAAACCCTAAACCCCAAATCCCAAACCCCAAACCCTGAACATGCGGATTCGGCCCGCAGCTGGGCAGGATGGAAAAAGAGACCCCCAAACCCCAAACCCCAAACCCCAAACCCCAAACCCCAAACCCTAAACCCCAAACCCCAAACCCCAAACCCCAAACCCCAAACCCCAAACCCTAAACCCTAAACCCTAAACCCTAGCTGCTGTTATGGGGTTTGGGCTTTGGGGGTTTGGGGCTTAGCCAAGTACAGCGTGAGGATGCCAGAAATCCTTGCGCTGGAAGCCTCACGTGCTCGGACCCGCTCCGCGATGCCACCGCTGTTCAAGAATTCGTTGCCGTCTGTAGGTTTTTTTGTACTTAGGGTTTAGGGTTTAGGGTTGAGGGTTGAGGGTTGAGGGTTTAGGGATACTTGGAAAGACTTGTCGAGCTAAAAGTTGTAGTTTTTGCTAGGGTTCCAAGCTCACTATAGTGTAGTGCGCACAAGGGGGTATTGAGAGGAGAACCTGTGCGTAGTGCCAAGTTGGCAGCAGGAGGCCTGCCGGTAATGCAGCTTAGACCATCGCTCTCGCCAGAGCAAGGGCAATTCCCCGAGCCTAGAGCCTGCAGACGAAACGGGCTGAGGGTTTAGGGCTTGTGTTCCTCTACTTCTTGCCGGCTACATCAACATGCATGGATGAATGGCCTTCGCTGCACAAGATGTGCCTCTGAGGCACCTCGACAACTTCTGAGGGCCATCTTGGAGATCCTTCAATGGGTCTTAGGGAAGGTTAGGGATTGAAGGCCCTGCCCCCCCCCCCTCCCCCCCCTCCCCCCCCTCCCCCCCCTAACTGTCTTGTTCCTCACAGTCAGCAACTCCATCGTCGCCCCAAGCCCAAACCCTGAACCCTAAGCCCTAAACCTAATCCACCTCCAACCCCAACCCCCTAAACCCATTTGATGAAAGGGGGGGGGGGGGGGTGATTGGATGCACAGGTTTACCCAGAGCATCAACGACAACTCCTTGAAGGCAACAGCACCTTCAGAGCTTCTCATTTAAGGGTTGAAGGGGGCTTAGGGGTTTAGGGGTTTCGGGGTTTTGACGGTTTAGGGGAAGTAAGGGCAGCAGTCGAGTCCCTTGTGAAAAATGACGGTTTAGGGTTTAGAGGTTTAGGGCAAAAAGGGTTAGGGTTTAGGCTTTAGGGGTTTGGGGGGTTTAGGGAACAGGGGTGTTTGCAAAAAGGGGCGTGTAAGGGGCTTACCGAAGAAACTTGGCCCAGCCGTGTGCCCACTTTCTGCATGGAAGAGTGGAGAACAGCGAGCTGGGTTGCGGGTTTAGGGTTTTGGGGGTGTATGGTTTGGGTTTAGGGTTTAGGGTTTAGGAGGTTTAGGGTTTTGGGGTGTAGCCATGCAGGAGGGGCGGCTTGGTGAACTTGGTTGGTGCTTCTCGTTGTTCGGGGATGCTTGTCCGTGAAGCCCCTAATCCGGAGCTTCCTGAACCCTAACCCCGAAACCCTGCAATTCCCTAACCCCCCCCAAAGCCCTAAAAATTATTCTACTTCGAACATCCCCACCCTCTCTTGGTAGAGATACTCTGGGGTTGGGCACTCCAGGCCGGGCACTCTGGGGACACCCTGGGGTTGGGCACTCCAGGGAGAAAATCGCGGTTGGGCACGCCAGCAAATCTCTGGGGCTGGGACTCTTCGGTTGGGCACTCCAGGGAGACTGTGCGGTTGGGTACTGGGCACTCCAGGGGGACTTTGGGGTTGCCGGGAAGATTCTGCGGTTGGGCCCTCCAGGGAGAGACTGGGGTTGGGCACTCCGAGAGACTCTGGGTTTGGGCACTCAGGGACACGGAGTAGACCGGGCGAGGAGAAGAGTTCCGGGCGAGGAGAAGAGTTGAGCTTAAACTCTAACAACCGCACACACAGAGGGTGGGGAACAACCTGTAACAAACATCCCTAAACCCTAGACCCTGGACTCTCCCTCGACCCTAGACCCTAGACCCTAAACCCTAAACACCCTTGAAAGCCGCAAAACGTGCTTCTGTTGAACAAGCAACAGGTTGCGCCAGCCAGTCCGGTACCCGTGACCGATGCCTCGAGAAGCAGGTCCAGGTTAAATTCCCCCCCCCCCCCCCGGGTTGAGTTTAGGGTTTAGGGTTTGGGGGTTTAGGGGTTAAGGGGTTTAGGGTTTAGGGTTTAGGGTTTGGCCCGGGTTTATGGGCATGGAGGGGGTTAAGCATTAGGCGCGGGAGGGGATCAAGTTTGAGATGTGATCGAAGGCATGAAATTCGGCCTTCTACGTGATTCAAGCCTCAAGCGGTGGCTACGACGTGTCACAGTATGATTGTCACAGTTCAACCTAAAGACCCGAAACCCTTCAAGGAGCCTCAGCTGCTTCAACAGGTTTAGGGTTTAGGGTTTAGGGTTTAGGGTCTAGGGGTTAGGGTTTAGGGTTTAGGGCCTCAGCCTCAGCCTCAGTGTCATCTCCCGAACAGGACCTTACCATGGGCGGAAGAGAGCGGCGAGGACTGGGAGAAGCCTTGGGGCGCGGTTGGGTTTCGGATGGTCCGGTGTTGGGATATTCCTCGGGTGGATTCGCAATTTCAGAACTCGGCTCTCACCCCAACCCCTGAACCTGGATGGCGTTTGCGTGCGGGCAAAGGTGAAACCTTGATGCGGACCCAATATTTGGGGCTATTCGGGGATTCTGCCTCTGCGGCAAGCGACGGGATCTGGTACCGAATCGGTTACAGGCTTCCAATGAACCCCATAGCCGTCCTATGTTCACATGCGGCACCTTGACTCACGTTTACTGGGCTTTGGAGTACTATACTTGAACATTTTATTGGTTTTGGGTTCCCATTATAGCTACTTATACCCAAAAAGTATATACTTGTTTTCTGGGTCTACTCCAGAGGTAGGTTTATATCATAGATTTTCATGGGCTAGTATGCGGCTCGGGAGGAAAGCCCGGCCAGACCCCGCTCAGCGAAATCCTGGCGGCGTGAAGAGTGCCTCGGCCGCGATGACATATCCGGCGGTTCTTTTTTTTTGGCTGCCTTACACCCATGAACACCTTACCCTAAACCCTAAACCCTAAACCCTAAACCCTAAACCCTAAACCCTAAACCCGAAACCCAAATCTCCGGTATCTTGGAGTTGCGAAAATCAAGAGAGGAGACAAGTCGCAAGTCGATTCAAAGAAACAAGTGCTTGCCTTCCTCTCTCCTGCCTTCAGCAGGCTGCAGTGCCTGGAGATGGTCCTGCGAAGGCCATGCTGCAAGGGTTGAGGGGCTTCTTGGGGGCATCTTCAGGGTTGAGGGGGCTGCGGGTTAGATGTAATATGTAGGGCTTAAAGTAATTGGGTTACATTTTACAGGGTTTAGAAATTGAGGGATCTTCAGGGCATCTTGGGGGGTATCTCAAGTCGCAAGTTCATCCTACAGTCGGGTGTGCGTAACGCCTCGATGCCGCGTGGGCACAGGAGCTGCCGCAAGGAGGATCGCCTTGCGGACCCTCGGCTGCCTGGGGTAGGGTTCCATTCGTTCTTGCGGGCAGCAGGGTCTTGCTGGGATGTATAGCGAAATAGGACGATTGGGACCCAAAAGACCGTTGCAAAAAGGGCGATTGGTATTGGGTGGTGCGGCCGGTTGGCGCCAAGGCATACCTGCGTCGTGCCCACAACGTCCACGGGAAGAACAAGGTTGTGGCGCTTGAGTGCTGTTTGGGCTGAGCTCGGTTAAAATCTGGAAAGCCCTAGCTGAAAAGCATCACCCTTCAAGAGGTTGGGTTTCGACATGCTGCGATTCCGTGGCTCATTTCAGAACACATCGCATCATCACACGAGCACTTGAGGGGCCATCATCCTGGAGCCCCTGTGTTCATGCTCGCAGGGACCTGCGGGCTTGAACCCTAACCCCTAAACCCTAAACCCTAAACCCTAAACCCTAAACCCTAAACCCTAAACCCTAGACCCTAAACCCTAAACCCTAAACCCTAAACCCTAAACCCTAAACCCTCTGGTTGTGGGAGACCCCCCCCTCCTTCCCCCCTGCCCTCTTTGAGGCCCCACGGCTTGCTTGCCAGGAGCGCCTCTTTTGCTTCGATGGGCCAGACGAGCACATCCGCAGGGCGCTCCTGTGGCCCTTGAAGCAATCTTTAGGGTTTCTGAGGGTTATGAGGGTTCAGGGTTCATGAGGGTTCATGAGGGTTCATGAGGGTTCATGAGGGTTCATGAGGGTTCATGAGGGTTCAGGAGGGTTCATGAGGGTTCATGAGGGTTCGTGAGGGTTCAGGAGGGTTCAGGAGGGTTCAGGCTTCCGGTTATTAGGGTTGAGGGTTGAGGGTTGAGGCTTGATGAGGGTTTAGGGCTTAGGGTTGAGGGTTTAGGTTTCAGGGTTTTCAGGGCTCAGGGTAGAGGGTTCATGAGGGTTCAGGGTTCAGGATTGAGGGTTTAGGTTTCAGGGTTTTCGGGTTGAGGGTTCATGAGGGTTTAGGGTTTAGGGTTGATTGTTGATGAGGGTTTAGGGTTTAGGGTATAGGTTTCAGGATTTTGCCGGTTTAGGGTTTTGCCGGTTGAGGGTTTAGGGTTTAGGGTGTAGGGTTGAGGGTGTAGAGTTTAGGGTTTAGGACCTGAAGCAATAGGGCTGCTGATGATGCGAGTGGCCAGAAGATGCCCAAAGAGTCCCCCAAAACATCGAACCGAGGTCCGAAAGTTCATACCCCAAGTACCCTTCCGTAGGGGACGCAAACGCGAGGCCGCGAAGCATCTGAGATTGCACCCAGGTCGCTGGACCCACCTTGGGTGGAGAATAAGGTGGCAACCTCCACGCTCTGGCATCTGAATCTCGTCCATCCTCTTTGGGATTTGAGAGTGATCAGGGCCTTTTGTAGCGCCTTGTTGGGGTTGCGGGGTTTGGGTGCAATGTCTTTGCTCTTGCGGCTAGGAGTGTGGATCCAAACTCGACATCTGCGTTAAACATTCACTAAAGAGTCGAGGGGTGTCGCTGCCAACGCAAGGAAGTGGACTGTCACGGACAACGAGACAGACTACCGCTGCTCAGAATGTCATGGTTGCTGCTGTGCATAGACACCTGGGGGTGGGGTCGTCCTCGGGAATGGGCGTGCTGCGAGAGCTCTCTGTCTCTCTCTCTCTCTCTTTCTCTCTTTTTCTTCTTTTACTTGCTTGTGTTCTACGTGCGAGGCTGCATCCAAGAAGGCTCCGGATGCCTTTACAACCACTTCCAAAACAACCGAGCCTTGTCAGCAGCAGAGAGAAGAGCAACACCTGCAGAAATCCCAAATCCCCGGAAGCCGTAGCCCCAAACTCCAGAACCCCGTTACCAGCAGCCGCCGCGCCCCCCCCCCCCCCGCCTTTAGAATCTCAAAAGCAGAGCCCCGGGCCGTTGCACCCTAAACCCTAAACCCTAAACCCCAAACCCCAAGTGGCTGAAATGTCGCCTTTAATTCGGCCAGTTTCCAGTAAGCTGTAAACGAAACACCCTCAGCCCAAAAACCTAAAACCTGCCCAGGTGAGCTGACGACGAAAGTCCGTCTCACCGGCAACTTGCGAAGGCGGCTTTCAAAACACTCCCCAGCCTCGAAAACTTCCGAGCTCCACCAGGAATACTAGTCAGCAAATCCAACTTGGTAGTAGAGTAGGTAACCTTTCACCATTTTGGGGTAATATAATCCCCTTAATAATCTCAAGTCCCCCAGGTACTGGACAACTAAGCCAAAAATATGAACTTCATAGGTAGGCCGATAGCACACGAGGGGGGAGTCTGAGGTGGTTTAATATCCAGCAAGCGGGGAGACCAAGTTTTGTGCTATCTCGTGCCCTCGATCCCTGGCTCTCAGGCTCGCCTACGAAGAGCAGGTGGACATCGACACGTTCTTCCCGCGCTCTTATGCGGCTTGGTTGGGGTATAAATGTCATACGCCGCCTACCTTGGCCCGACCCGACACGGAGAGGCTTTTCCGGGTTGAGGGCTTTTAGGGTTTCGGGCGGGCACAAGCATAGAGGCTGTTTTGGACGGTCCATGTGAGTGCTCGTGTGGAGGAGGAGGGCGGAGGCGGGGCGCGGGTCCGTTCCCATACTTTTACACGGTTCCCTAATTCTCCCCAATGCTCCCTAAGGCTCCCGAAGCCTCCTTAAGGTTCCCGAAGGTTCTTCAGGTACCTACCCCCCATGAACCCCCCTCCCTTAAGAACTCTATAAGGTGGTCTCTGCAGTATGGAAGAAGCGGGCCAGGGCCTGGGGGAGATCTGCTTCGAATTACACAGAGTTAGGTTGAGAGAGAGAGAGAGAGAGAGAGAGAGAGAGCGTCGGGTTGAAGGGTTCAGGGTTTAGCTTGAACTTCTTCCTCAATCTGAGGACATGGGCTCTCCGAGTGAGGTCGAGGACTCACGCCCTTCTCCCTGCTGGTGAAGGTTTCCCTGTCTTGCCGGAGGGAAGGGTTTCAGGGTTTCAGGGTTTCAGGGTTTCAGGGTTTCAGGGGCCGACGGAACGTCGCCTTTTGGGGAAAACTCGCAGGACTTTGTCCTTGACTTTCGCCGCTCCGCAGCTCTCAATGCCCCTTGACAGCGGTTGGGGGGATGGAGGCTCCCCAAACCCAGGAGGTTCACGTATCCTGACACCCCCACAAGTTTCCGGAGATCTGGTTGAGACCCCCATAAACCTACACCGCAAGCTGCCGACACAGATCCCAAGCCTAAGTGCAGCTGCATCATAAGAGTTTTTTTTTTAACGCTCAGCTTATTCGATATAATTTAGTACAAAGCAAAATATCATAGACATGCACACTAAACCCTAAAGAAATGCCTGAATTGCTGGGTTCAAGGACCGAGCTACACGAGCGTCTTAGGTCCTCCGGCGCCACCTGCGCCTTGCAGAGCAGGCCGCCGATCGTCAGAGGTGCGGTTGCGGCATGTGGGGGGCCTTCGCAGAATCGGGTTTAGGCAAAAGGGTTTAGGGGGGGCCTCCGAACTGTTTCAAGTGACGCTTTGGGTCTCGTTGCGTTTCCCGCAGTGAAGCGGTTGAGGCACTCCAGGGTATGTCACGCACCCATGTGCGTCGTGTACCTTCTGCAATTGCTTTCTTCAAAAGAGTTCTTCCCGGTGTTCCCCATTTCCTGGGCATCCTGTTGCCGTGGCTCACACATCTCACATCTTCCTTCGGGTCTCTGTTTTACCTACAGCCTGATGGGCTCTTGCTATTAGCTACTGTGAAGAACAACACAACTGCGTGCACCCCCAGGATACATGTTACATGTATATAGGAACCCAGGTCTACGAAGCACAACGCTCTTGCTACATCTCTCTTACCTTGGAAGAGACAGAGGTTTGAGCCAGAGTTGATCTTCAACGCGCCCGGCTACCTCTGCGACGTGACGGTGCTGAGGCGAGCTTCGGGGGAAGGCTGTAGGACTGTCGGCTGCACGCCCGCCCGGTCCGCTAAAGAGTCGTGATTTCGAGCAATTGCACACCTCTTGGTCTGTGCAGCACGGCAAGGGCTGAGTGCCCAAGCCAACAACAAACGAAGTGCCGCACAACTAAACAAATCCAAGAACTACCTCAGCAAAGCGCATGCCCACAACCCTTAAGCTCCTTCGATGTGCTTGACCTCCAGCACAAAAAACAATGAAGTTCTGCTTAAGACTCTTTGCCGCAACCGAGCACAATCAAAACTTGACACAAACTCACCCATCTCAATGCGACAGGGATCCCCAATTGCGGCGGCAATTGCGGCGGACCCTACTAGAAACACCGTTCGCCTGACTTCCCTGCAACTGCGCACCTAGCTAGAAGGCAATTCTGTCGAGAGAACATCGTCTTTGCATAGACAAGCAACTAATCCGGGCTTGCACCAAGCCTCTGTAACAGCTTACTGTCGCGATGGCTTTCGGCAGGCATGCGGTGAAGGCGCTTGAGCACTGGCTGGATGATCTGGATGGCTCCTACTTCGAGGTCACTCGGGGAAAGCTGGGGGTTGTAAGAACCATGCGACTTGACATGTCGTCCCAAAATGTCATAGCTACCCCCTACCTCTTCTTGGGGGATAGTGCATTCGAGGAGGGGGTGGGGGTTGTGTTTGCACCAGCCTGGTGATCGCTGCTGCTACGGACCCCTGTATTGATGATGGAGTCCCCAGACCACAAAACTTAAGACATTGCCAGAGGCATGTACTTTAGGAAAGCTGACCCTGAGCTGTTACGTCGACTTGTGGGTTTTCGAGAGAACGAACGTTGTAAACATTGCCTTCTCGGAGCTTCCAGGACTTTCAGTGCGACGGGGCCCGGAGACAGCTCTACTCAGAGGCCTCCTGGAACCCTAAACCCTAAACCCTAAACCCTAAATCCTAAACCCTAAACCCTAAACCCTAAACCCTAAAGCTTCTTCAGTTGTTTTCTGGCAAACGGAGTCAGGGGCCAGGGGCTTGAGGCTTCGGGGGTTCGAGGTCTTATTTGGTGGTACTTAGGGCACAAGGATTTGGATGTTAGACCTTGGCACTTGCTTGTGCGAGGGTGGAAAGGGGGCTTGTGGTCTCAACCCAAATCCCGCGCACAGTCTCGGCGGATCTCTGCGGAGTCTCCCAAGCCCCTTCTGTCGAGAGAGGAATGGGACGCCCTGGTCCTGTACTCGGAGCTCACAGAGGCTCGGCCTCTTTCCTAAGCAATAGGCTTGGTTTCTCCATGTTCTGACGGCACCCCGCCGCTCAGCTGAGTGGAAATGATATGTTTTAATTCTGACATGGAGTAAAAAGTAGGAAAAACACACCATCTTATTGGTTTATTGCTATGTTGTGATATACTAAGAGATACGAACGATGCAGGGAGGGGGTTCATGTTGGGCTGGCATCCCCTGCCCCTGAAGACCCACAACAAGTGGCTTTGGAGGCCTCGCAAGCCTTGGAAGCCCCAAGGCTCAAAGGTTTAGGGTCTAGGGTTTATGGTTTAGGGTTTAGGACTGCCCTAGGCAAACCTCGTGTGTGAGTGCGAGTGTCGAAAACACAAGCCGGAAGCGCCCTAAACCAACACCCCCCCCCCCCCCCCCCCCCCCCCGGCGGAAACCCGCCGTGCACTTGAGTCTCCATTCGCAGGGTCAGCTCTGTCAGCTGGACGAGGCCGAAGAGCGATTGGAGAGAAGCCGCCGAGAAGCTGCAACAATGCCAGGGGGTTCATTCAGGGCCGCTTGGTGGGGGAGGGGGTTTGGACCGCCTCAATAAAATAACCCGACGAAACAGTCCCAGCTAAACCTTCCCGTAGAAGTTTTAGTTTTTGTTGGGTAACGACCAAGCAAGAAGTCCCCGCCCTTGCGAGGGTTGCGGCTTTTTGGGAGCAATGCGGCTCTAGTCCCCACGCGTAGTATAAACGCCTAAGCTCTAAGCCCTAAAAGGTGGCTGCAAACCTTCGTGTCCGCAATTTTCGGTATGTGCCCAGCAACGCGACGTGAGTATAAGGCCTAAACCCCCTAAACAACATTAAGTAACAACACAAAACCCGAAACCCTCAAACACAAGACCCCAAGTCTAAGAATCTTCTCGCCCCTCATCAGCCTCAGACTTCCAAAAAGGTGGCTACTCGGCCTCGGGCGCCCTGGCGCCGCGCAAGCCCGGCGAGCGATACACGCGGCCCAAGGACCTGTCGGGTAGCTTTCAGGTGGCAGACGGGTTCTGCACATGAAGGCGACTCTGTTGGCTTGGGGAGATTCCTACATGGAGCCTTCTAGCAGGGGGGGACCGTTCGTTTGCAGGGGTTGAGGGCTGCAGCCAGGGTCAAAAAACACAGTCTTGCAATAAGGGCTTTCTGGCCCTTTGGAAGCCTCCAGCCCTCTGCGCCGCAGCAAGGAGCCACAAAAATGGCCAGAGCGCCGGAGCCGCAAATCAGGAGCCGGCGATTTTTTCTGTTTTCAGGTCCATCTCCATGGCTTGACAGTTCGAGAAGCTGAGGGAAATCGATGAATGCTGCCCATTTAAACAAAGGCGAGGCTCTGTAGGCGCTAGGGCCCTCCGACTGCTTCAAAAGAGCGCCGCAGCAGGGTCCCCCGCCCCCCGCCCCTTATATACCCTTACCCCCCCATTTTCACTCAAGAAAGGCCCCGGGAGAAATTGCACGGAATGGCACCAAAGAGGGCTCAATTTCTGCATCCCAGGCTCCGGGGTCACTTGTGGTCGTCCTTCGCGCCCCCCGAGTTGCACGAGGCGGCCAAGAAGGCTGTGGCGTCGCTGGAGGAGCACAAACAATCAGCCCACTAAACCCTAAACCCTAAACCCTAAACCCTAATGTTGGACTCGGTTTAGTACGTGGGGGTCCCCCCCCCCGCCCCCCAAACAGTTTTGGGGTTTTCGGGGATCCTGTATAGTGTGGGCTGGGGTTGTCGTCGTCGTCGTAGTACCAGTAGTACCAGCTTCCTTTTTGGCTTCTCTAAGTTTAAACCAGATCAGCATTTTTTGCCCTTACCGGCGACCCCGGCCCGGCAAACATCGCATAATTGAGGACCACCCTAAACAATGCCGGGTCCCCTATAAGGTTTCGGAAACATCGCATAATAGTGCCCCCTCTCACTAAACCGGGTGCAACATTAAACCCTAAACCCTAAACCCTAAACCCTAAACCCTAAACCCTAAACCCTAAACCCTAAACCCTAAACCCTAAACCCTAAACCCTGAACCCCCCCTGAACCCTGAACCCTGAACCCTGAACCCTGAACCCTGAACCTGAACCTGAACCCTGAACCCTGAACCCTAACCCTAAGCCCTAACCCTAAGCCTAAGCCCTAAGCCCTAAACCCTAACTCTGAACCCTAAACCCTAACCCCTAACCCTAAACCCTAGACCCTAAGCCCTAAACCCTAAACCCTACACCCTCAAACCCTAAACCCTACTGAGAATCTTAGAATAAGGGTTCTAGTTTAGGACTTCTTCTTGCCCTACTTGTCATGCTACTCATAAGTACCCACGAGCCTCCAAGTGGAGCATCCGCACAACCTTTTGGAGTTACATTATCGTGCTCCCATGAAGCTTTTTCAAACCATGGGGTGGGGGGGCTTTAGGCCGAGATCGGCTGGCCCTTGCGGCGCCGAATGCAAGGGGGTTTAGGGTTTACTTGGGGTTTAGGGTTCTACGCACCCAAACGAGGAAAGACGGAGAGTCCATGACGCGCCTCTAAAGACAGCACAAGAAGACCACGATGAGTAATATGTGCCCTAAACCCTAAACCCTAAACCCTAAACCCTAGACCCTCCACCCCAGGAGAGGTGGCCGCAGGCTTCGACCCATGGCCCCATGAACGTCTGGGCGCCGTGGGCGGCAGTTTTTTTGTTGTTTGTTTTTGTTTTTATTTTTGTTTTTTTCTCGTCCCTACCCGGTGACCGTTGGACCTTAAGGTGTTCATAGGGGGTCCCAGCTTTAGGGTTTAGGGTTTAGGGGTTTAGGTTATAACCACTGTGCATAAACAATGTCCTATCCCTTAGGCTGTCAGGGAATTCTTTGGTTAATGGTTGGGGAGAAGGCTTAAAGGTGCAAAGCTCGGGAAAGCCCGCATGCCCGTCCGCTGGCACAGCTCGTTGTGGCACCTAAACCCCCGAAACCCTGCGTGCGTGAGCGACTAAACCCTTAACCCTAACCCCTAACGCCAAAACCCTAAGCCCTGCGTGCGTGAGTGACTAAACCCGAAACCCTACACCCTCAAACCTGAGACATGCCCAGGTCGTGAAACCTGGCACTAGCTCCAAGGGAAGCGGTGTGGTGTGCCTCCCGGCAAGCGCTTAGGTGGGTTCAGGGTTAGGCCCTTCTTGAATTCGCAGGTTTCGGGCTGAGGGTTTAGGGTCTAGGTGGCTTGACATCCCATACTTCTCCAGGCGGCCGAAACAAGCGCTCAGCGCCGCCCTCCTTTCCAAGTCGCACCTGTTCTTCTTCTGGGAGCTCGCCCCCTAAACTCTAAACCCTAAACCCTATACCTTAAACCCTAAACGGCGCGGCCCCTCAGATCATGCAGCAGAAGCCCCAATTCAGCCCGACGAAGCATTCCCTCTTTTATTTTTGTTTTACCCTCTTCATTCCTTTTTTCTCCTGCCCTCTTCTGTGCGACCCGGAGGTCAAAACACTCTTCCCGAGCTGCTCCACCTCTGCAAGACCACGACGAATCGGGTGGTACAAAAGTGCCCCTCCTGCTTGGAGTGATGGAAGGTGTTCAAAGCAGAAGCACCAAGCCCGAAGCCGTAAACTGGCTAAACCCTAGTTCATGGATCTACTTTTTCCTGCCCCCTTCAGGTATCCTCTCCTCCAAAGCATTATAGCCCTAAACCCTTAACCCTAAACCCTAAACCCTGATTCTCCCAGAACGAACCGTTTCAGGCCCTCAGCTAAGAACCTTGGGAGGTACGTCGAGAAGCCCCTGCTCCTCTTTAGCGGCCGGAAGTTTGACATCCGCCAGTGGGTCCTGGTGAGGTCCTTCCAGCCACTCCAGGCCTTTCTTTTTTTCCCCCTTCAACAAGGTCTGACCTCGGAATATGTTACACTTCCTCTCGTTGGGAAGCATATTTTTGCGGAGGGTTTTAGGGGCCAACCCTCTTTAGACCCCAGAACAACCAAAGAGAGAGCTCAACAGTCTCCAAGACGCCTCGCCCCCGCAAACTGCACCTCTCTTTGTGGATTCCCCCAAGCTATGGGTCTCCGAATCTGGGCGAGGAGTAGATCCTAAACAGTTAAGCCCTTATACTTGGGATGTTCCCCCTTCTTCTAGTAGTCCTTAGCAGGGATGATAATTGGGGGTTCGTATAAGGGGGAACATCCCAACCCTAAACCCAAGCCCTACAACTCTGACGGGATCCTCCCGAGTATTTTGGGGATCCCAAAATTCGGACTCCCTCGTAACTCGAAGATGGCTTAAAGTTTTCCACTCTCCCCCCCCCCCTCCCCCGCCTTCCCTCATCCCACCTCGCACCCTCACACCCACGCGCACACGCGCACACGAGCCCCATCCCACCTCGCACCCTCGCACCCTCGCGCACACGCGCACACGAGCCCGGGCTCCTACGCACCCATCCGAAGGTGGAAGTTTACCATGTTGTTTTGGGCCGGGGTACTGCGTGCAGAGGTGTACATGTTCTCCTCCTGCTACCTCCGCCTGTGCAATGAGCCCTACGACCTGGGAGATCTGGCAAACCGGCAGCGGCACATCTCCAACTGGTGCCCTGCATGCAAAGGTGCTGCTGAAAGGGTGGGGGGAGTTGATCCCGATCCCTAAACCCTAAACCCTAAACCCTGTTCCGAACACAACATGCAAATTCTCTTCCCCGATGATTCCATGATCAACATGCACCCCCGCCCTGAACTTGTTCAGGCCCCTCTTCTAGGGATAGAATCAGCTAAGACTCTAACATTCTTGCCAGGGTTCCAAGTTCATTGAAGTCTTCAGCGCTTAGGGGTACTTGGAAATAGTTTTTCAACTTGTGGGGGCTATAATTCCTAAGAAACCGGAAAAATAAATTGTTGCTAGGGTTCCAAATTCAGTAAGGTTTGGGGTGGTGCTTCAAATCAGAACCAGGTCGGTGAACAAGCACGGCAAGCACGTGGCCACAGGCGCAGTGGCCAGTCTCAGCGAGCAGCTCCGTCTGAAGGGAACACAACACTTTTTCATAGTTGGGTAACATCTTACATTCTCAGGGTACTTAAACCCAATAAGGAATAAACATTTAAATTGCTAATCTTACCCCTAACAAGTAACTTAATATTAAATAAATAATATTGAAGTTCTTATATTGATAAGACTTGTGAGTTGGATCCTACTTCTCTTGAACTAGAACAGCGGGGATGCGGCTCCCCCTGTCTCCTCCACAGAAACGCCTAAACCCTACACCCTAAACCCTAAACCCTACACCCTACACCCTAAACCCTAAACCCTAAACCCTAAACCCTAAACCCTAAACCCTAAACCCTAAACCTAAACCCTAAACCCTAAACCCCAAACCCTAAACCCTAAACCCCCAAAGCCCTCTTGCCTGCCCTCCCTCACACTTCTTCGCTGGTCCCGTTCCAGACACTGCTAGGATTTGGGTTTAGGGTTTAGGGTTTAGGGTTTAGGGTTTAGGGTTTAGGGTTTAGGGTTTAGGGTTTAGGGTTTAGGGTTTAGGGTTTAGGGTTTAGGGTTTAGGGTTTAGGGTTTAGGGTTTAGGGGAAGATGTTGGAAGCCTCGAACCCCATGGTGCGCGCGATTCGTTCAGAACCGTTTTTGGAAGGTTGGCCAAGAAGCTCCGCGATTTAGGTTGTTGGGTCGAACTAGGCTTCAGGATCTGTCAATCGGCGACTCGCCCTGGCAAATTTCAGCCTTTAGGGCCATGAAGTGCCAGACATTGGGGCCTCAGAGTAAGCTGAATCAATCATGTTGGAGAACCACTGAAACACCTGGCGAGCTCCAAAAATAAAAGACAGGCTGTGGACTCTGTTGCCCCCAAGAAGCCAAGGCTGAACGATGTTCTGGAGATGATGACTGGCAGCCGACACCTGGACTTGAGAGCTGAGAGGGGCTTCGGGGTTTGGTTTGGGGTGAGGAGGGTTGAGAGTTGATTCAGGAGGGCGCAGGTGAGCACGTGGCGTAGGGCCGCTTCGCCCACCCCTAACACAGCAAGCCCTGATTGAGCCCAGGGCACTACTGGGAAAACGATCTCCTGCCGCAGCTGAAGGCATGGCCCCACCCCTCTTTAACCTTTCCTCACAATGCGCACACGCACCCGACCTCTCCCAAAGTATGAGTGCGCTCGGCCGCTCGGTGACACTGCATTGCAAGCACTTCCCCTGCAACACTCTGGGGGCTTAGGCGCTCGCGGGCCTTGTGGCGCGCATAGATCTCTCAATGAACTTCTCAGACTCTCTGCCCGTGCGACGGGGGGGGGGGGGGTCCCTCGGCATGGCGGCCAGGATGTATCCTGCACAGCCTTCGGTCCGTGCAAGATCGTGTCGTGCAGAGGCGGGGCTTGGGGGGAGTTCCGGGGGGGGGGGGGGGGGGGTTCAAAGACTTCAGGGCTTATATGGCTTCGAGTAGTGATTAGTGTGGATAGGGGAGGGCGCGGATAGAGGAGGGTGTAAGGCAATGTGGACTTGCAGCTGCTTTATTTAACTTTTCGAGGAAGAGAAACAGGCAAGCAGCTGGCTCAAAGGCCATGTCCTCTGAAAGAGAGCAGCAAAGAGACTTTAGCCAAGTGCTGAGCCCTTCTGCCGCGTCTTCGTGACCCTAGCCGGGCCTTGACACCCTACATGCAGCCCGAAAGAGCCCTGCAGGTCCTCTTGCTTCGAAGTCTATGGCTTTGACTTCCTCCTTGGGGAAGACTTGAAGCCCTGGCCCCTTTGCTGCAAACCCTGGCTGCAGGATCCTACCGTGGCATCGAGGCGCAAGAATGTCATGAAAGTGCCGATCAACCCCTAAACCCCAAAACCATAAACCAAGCAAAAGCAAGTTCTGCACAAGGGGAGTGAGTGTACCCCAGACAGTCTCGTCATCCGCCCTGCGACGTGGATGCGCCCCAGCTGTGCAGGAAGGCACAAAGGCCCCAAACCCTAAACCCTGTACCAGCGTGAGCGTCGAAACCCTAAACCCTAAACCCCAAACCCCAAACCCTAAACCCCAAACCCTAAACCCTAAACCCCGAATGCCCTCCCCCCCTTTCCCTTTCACCCAAAAAGGCTCCTGGAGGTGAACCTGAGTCCTAAACCCTAAACCCTAAACCCTAAACCCTAAACCCTAAACCCTAAACCCTAAACCCAAAACCCTAAACCCTAAACCCTAAACCCTAAACCCTAAACCCTAAACCCTAAACCCTAAACCCTAAACCCCGAGTTTCACCCAACAAGGCTCCTGGAGGTGAACCTGAGCCCGGCCTGCGAGTCGCGGACCCCTTGGATCTCGGAGCTTCTGGAGCGCCCCTCGGGTTTGCCGGGGCCTTTTCTTTTGGTTTAAGTTTTCTTTTAGGGTTTGGGGTTTAGGGTTTAGGGTTTAGGGTTTAGGGTTAGGGGTTAGGGTTTAGGGTTTAGGGTTTCGGGGTTTAGGGTTTAGGGTTTAGGGGTTTAGGGGTTTAGGGTTTAGGGTTTAGGGTTGAGATGTGCCCCTTATACTGCCAGTCCTTCGCAGGGCCATATATGGTACCCCGAAATGAGAATCCCGATGAAGGACTTTTTTAGTATAAGGCCGAACATCCCCAGCTTCAGGGTTTTTCGCGCTTCGGGCTATCCGAGTTAGGGTGTAGGATGGGTTTCTTCGGTTTTTTTTTTGCGGCCTTGGGTGTCGGGTTCCGGGTCTGGCAGTCAGCTAGTCCAGCTTCAGAAAGGATCGAGGTTTTAGGGTTGAATACGAGAGAGGGCTCAGCGCGAGAGCTCAGAGAGAGCTCAGAGAGAGAGAGAGAGAGTCAGGGAGGGATTGTTTAGGGCTTGGGGGTTGCGGCATCAGCTCGCTGGGTGGCGAGGAAAGCCCGATGCAACACGGGTGGTGGGGTTTAGGTTGGCATGCTCCCCTTATACAAACAGTCCTTGATAGGGATTATAACAAGGGGCACGAAAAATCCCGATGAAGGACTGTTAGTATAAGCGAGAACATCCCAAGGTTTGGGAGTTTCAGGTTGCGCCCTCGTTTGTGTGCCTCCTCCCCTGAACAGTCGAAGCTGATGGTGGCCGTAACTTGAAGATTCAAAACACTACAAGTATTCAACAAAAGGGTTCAACGCCTGGGGT